TATGTGCGCAGTCTCCAGTTAACGTGAAAATGATATCCACAACAGTATCTCATTACCAATAGATGAAGAGAGTGGAGGGAGGATAGACAAGGAAAAAGGTGGGAAAAGTATTCACAAATCACACAATATTAACCCAACCAATCCCACTTCTTCTTCGGGCTTCCTCTCCCTCCACGTCATCAATCAAATAACAGTATCAAGTCTGAAGAGTCCCGGTATCACAGAAGTGCCACGTGGCACCACTCTCTCATAGGGACAATGAAGACAGCCAGCAACTAACAATCACGTTCCCAATCATCCACAAATCCCGATCTTCCTCCTCCTCGCAACCAGTCACCTCATGTCGACAGTGTGGACAATGCCACGTCAGCCGTCGAGACAAGTGGCATGCGCCACATCCTCAATGAAGACCAGTGACATGCGCCACATCAGCATGTAATGTAGACCATAGGCAGCGCCACATCAGCATGCAATGTAGACCATAAGCAGCACCACATCAGCATGCACTGTAGACCGGAGGCAGCGCCACATCAGCATGCCATGTAGACCAGAGGCAGCGCCACATCAGCATGCCGTCACAGTCCGCGTCGTTGTCCACAGTGCCTGCGCACAGCCAGCGTCTCGCAAGCGTCGTGCCAGCGTCAATGCCAGCGTCTGGTCGAAGTCAAGCCAGCGTCCAGGCAGCATAGCAAGACTGAATGTTGACCACCTCGAAGACAGCCTTTAAGTAGCATTTGACAAGGCTGTCTGGCCTCGGTTCCCTCCCTCACAGTCATCCAGATTGACTCACAGCCGAGGGCCTGGATTGTGTACACTTGCAGATTTCCCTTTGGACCTGATGTTGTCTGGGTACCTGCATACAAACAAATGTGTGTATCTCACCGGCGGCCTGGGCTGGGTACCTTTGACTTTGACTGCTGGGTAGACAGACAGTTGACTTGGTCAACTGTATCTCACCCCGGCCCTGAATCTTTTTGTGGGGTGTTTTGCCCCCCTTCGGCCTGGGTCTGAGCGCGGCCTGTAGCCCTCAGACTGTCCACGAGGCATACAGCATGGGTTATTGCAGTTCAGTTTCTTTTTTTTGCATAACATAGTTTTTTTCTTTGGATTTTTTGGTATTTCTTCCTTTTTTTAACAGCAGCGGGGGCTTTCCTGTCTCTTGCCTGGGCGGACACCCCTGGCCACTGAGCTGATCCACGCGGCCCGGTTGGTAGCCCAGTCGGAACTTGAAAAGAGTTGGAAAAACAAAACAGGCGGCTTGAACAGGAGAGGTTTGAACAACGAACCTTTTCTTGCAAACAATTTCACCCTCCCCATCTCCCTCTCCCTCTCCCTCTCCCTCTCCGTCATCGCATAAGACTGCTGCTCCTCGTTGTATTCGTTGTTCTGCATTCTCCTGTTGATTCAAAGCCCTCTTTCAGGCCACAACACACATCAGGGACAATAGAAGACATCATTTTGCTTGATGAGAGGCAAAATCTCCGGGGGGAAAAAGAAGGAAGAAAAAAACAGAAACAAAAAAACAGATGTTCCTGCCCCCAAGCGTGCGCGAAAGCAGTTTGAAGATTGAAGTTCATCGAACTTTGAACTCTCAAACAAGAAAGAGAAAGGACCTAAAAAATGCAGATATGTTTTCTACATAGTTGCGGCGCACGTCGGTGCGCCGGTTTGCGCACGGTTTGCGCACGTCGCGCCGCGCACCGCACAGCGCACCGAAGCGCAGCGCACTTGAAAAATTAGGTCCAAAAAAAAAAAAAAAAAAAGTAGGGGTTTTCTAATTTCTTAGGGCCCCCAACTCGGCAAAAATGTTAAACTCACCGCGCAAGTTCACAAACCGGCCGCGC